ACTATGATGGACAAGGGATAAATACAATTAAGCTTATTGAATTTTCTAATTGAAAAGAAAAGCAAAAAGAGACATTACTGTGGTTTAATGAGAATGAGGCAAGTTGTTTAATGCACATTAGCTAATGGATTTTGCCTTTATGCTTTCTGTCACTCAGGATTTGTGTAAATGTTGTCTTTGTCTCTGTCAATATGCATATTAAGAAAGAACTGCAACTGTGTTGCCCAGTGCTCGGTCCATCACAGAAAAGCAAAGGAATGGTTAAGGAATATAGAGCATTTTAAGGCACAGTATTGTAATGATGATACTGATGAGTCTTTGTAGTAGTAGCAATAGTAGTGGTACTAGTAATATTCATTTTAAGGTACTCTGCTTTTGTGTGCATACCCTATTTCTTGGATTGCTACAGAACAGATTTATGAAGCTATTAGATTTTAAGATTTTCTCATTAAGTGTAGCTGTTGTCACTAAACAACTAAATATACAGCTTAAAAATTTATGAACTCAATATTTCAAAAATAACAGTCATGGAGCTTGGAGGGAGCAGACTTTGCAATGCTTATGCTAACAAAGACCAATCGATATAAACTGAAACGGTACAGTTTAGACAAATTAAGGGTAGACAAGGGTCTCAAGATTAACTTTAGATACCAGTTTAATCCCGCAGAGCATAGGTTTTATTTGGCCAGGCAACTTGGCAAGAGATACCTCTTTAGTCATGAAAGAGATGTTAGGACAGTTTAAGTCCACATATGTTGTCCAGCATCAAAGTGCCTGTATTCCAAAGATTATGCTGATCCATCCTCACAACAGTAAAATGTGAAAGTAGCCGTCTTCAAATTCTGATGTCAAATCCCCCTTTTATTCAGAGAACTCAAAGTAAACAGTAGATTCACTGCTTGCCAGAAAGCTTTGTTCAAGCTTTAAAAGAAAAAGAGGAAGTCCCTCATGCCCCCCTGGCTGAGAACTACTCACTTGCTACAGCACAAAGGCTCCAATGTGGCTGTGCAGATATGTTTATATGCCTGGCTAATGGAGTTCCATCAACACTCAAGCTGTGTGTTGTTTCTGAGAAGCAGCAACAAAACTTGCATTGCCCCCAGTGGGAATAGTTAATTAATAGCTGTGTGTATGTGCATATGTGCAGTTGTGTTTAATCAAACTGGTGAAAGAGCCAGTACTTACCTGGCAATTTAAAACGGCCCTTCAAGCTGCACTGTACCATGCAACACATCTTTAATGTACCCAAGACTCCTAATGGACTGGTTGAAGTCAGGTTTGGAATGGTTTTGTGAAATTGTGAAAATGCAGTGCTCTGATGTTCAGAGCATGGCAACAGCTTCATGAGTGAGTCCTTTCCAGAAAATTGTACAAGTGTCGCCAGCTGTGTCAATCTGGCCAAAGAAATCTTAGCATTTTGATATTCATCTTGTGTGTTGATGTAGGTTTTGCTTATCAGGTTTAACCAGGCTTTTTGCCTGATTTAAATTTTTTTTTAATTTGTTTATTTTAACAAGTGTATACCCATAGACTGCGAATTATAATCTGAAATCCTGTGTACTAATGTAATAGTATTCCCACTAGCAACAAAACAAAACTTGCATTGCCCCCAGTGGGAATAGTTAATTAATAGCTGTGTGTATGTGCATATGTGCAGTTGTGTTTAATCAAACTGGTGAAAGGGCCAGGACTCACGGTCTGGTATTGGTTTCACCAGACCGTTCCTTCTGGCTCATGCAGCTCATTCCCATCCTTGTTTGGCTTGTTGGTCATCAGCTCATATCCTCTATCATTTAGTGGCCATTCCCATATTTCTTGCTGTTCCTGTACTTCCAACAGCAAAGAGACAATTTGCTCCACAGTCTCCTGCAGCTCTTCCTGTAAGGTCATTTCTGGTACCAAATCATCAGAGACCAGCACTGCTGTTATGGCCTGTGTTTCCTGGGCTGTTTTCTGGTTCTCTCCGGGACACGTTTTTACAGTTTTGCCGACACTGGTGAAACTTAATTGCATCAGTTTAGGTGACTGTTTAGTTTGATCTAACAGCTCGCTGTGGCATTTTAAAGGGGAATTGCCTTTTTTTTAAAGCCATTTCCTTCTTTGCAAGCACCTGAGCATGAAAGGAAATAAACAGTCTAAAAAGCTTGTGTAGGAATGTGAGTTAAAAGGAGAGTGTGGTTGTGCTCCTCAGGTCCAAGAGATATGGTTGTACTGCCTGTCTCCAAAATCAATAGATAGGAGAGAAGATGATGGTGGGCAACATACCGTCAATAGCAGAGAGCAGGACTCTGGAATGATCATAGGCAATCACGTTGGCATATCTATTCTTTGGTTTGTTGACCTCCAGGTTCGAGTGTTCCCATGTGAACTGCTGACCAGGGTCAATGGACTATAAGGAAAGAAAAATATTTCATTTACATTTTTTTCACTATGTAAATGTTTTCCTATAGTTCATAGCAAGATGGAATTCAGCTGTATGGAATCTCCCCTCTGAGATCAGTGGAACTTGCCTTTCAGTACAATTCATTTGTTTTTTCTCATAATTCCACACAAACAATACTCCACAAAGTTAAAGTGACACAGGGTTTTCAAGCATTTTGAAAGTTTATTAAAAATAAAAGACTGAAATGTTCCATTTACATAAGTATTCAGCCCCCTCACAGACAGTTCCCTTCACCTCAAGGCTTTGTTTTCACTCAGACGTGCACCATCAACTGTGACACCTTATATAAACAGGTGCCCCTTTCCTTATTATATCCAATGCATTAAATTAGGCACAGGTGGATTCTAATCAAGCTGTAGAACCATCTTAATGAGCACTGATAGCAATAGGATGCACCAGAGCTCAAATGCAAGTGTCATAACAGTGGGTCTGGATACTTATGTAAATGGTATAATTCAGTCTTTTATCTTTAATAAATTTACAAAACACTCCACAAACCTGTTTCTACTTCCATTGTGGAGTGGTAGATTGTGTAGAATGAGGAAAAAATTGAATTGAATCTGTTTTAAGATGAGTCTGAAACATAAGAAAACCTGACGGGGTCTGATATTTTCCACACTGACTATACTGTACTAGAATACCACACTTCAGACTAGTTCAACAGAATTTGCCACCTCAGCCTTCTGGTCTCTTATGGGGAATAAATAAACTACAAAGTAGAATATCACAACAGGAAAATGTGTGAAAGAGAGAGTTTTATTTCATAATACTGTACTTGTGTTTTTAGTGACCACAGACCACTTCACTGAAGGTATGAGAAACACAAGTTCAGTAGGACGCACTGCAATTAATTTACATTAGAACATTAACCTTTGTTATAATCTAGACAGATCTGAATGTGACCCTGCTTTCATGGCTTCTTTAGAGTAATTCATATGAATAATAAATGCATAAAAATAATCTTTATTGCTCATTTTTAGACCAGTATCCAACAGCATAAATGCTCAGTGTGAAAACAATAATATATTTCAGCACTGAGCTCGTTGTCTGCAGCAGTCTTTGAAAGCAGCAATATACCCGGAAAGCAAACCACTGGCTAAGCCTGATATTTTATCAAAATATGTTGAAACAGTGGGCTGCAACATTGCTCATAATAAAAATCCTCATTTCACTGTGCTCGAAAAATTGCTTTTCACTGCTCTCGAATAAGCACTATGAAATTGGAATTCGGTGTACTTAGGCTGCAGTAATGATCGGGCAGCTTGGCAGGCACCCATATGGTGACCTCATAGATTTTGGAGTCGATGCAGGACCCACAGAGCGGAATGTGCAGGGAACGGGTGACTGTTCCGATCTCTCACACAGTGCTCCTGTAAAGACCTTTTGTTTGTGTAGTTTCTCAAGCTTCATGTGTGGTTGGATGTACAGTAGGTTCAGCTATGGACGGTGTGAAGGAAACACACACTGACTACTACTACTACTTTGGCGCTTCCCCGTACAGATCCAATATAAACAAACATATTGATAAACATTCATTTCTCCTATAGTCAGAACCATTTGTCACATGTGCTGTTTGTGCATTTTTGTATGTTTGTATGTTGTGGCCGTCATTTTTATTTGGTCTGGCCATATAAGCCTTTTTGGCAGCAGACATTTTTGCAGGAAAACATGTCAGTGAGCCAGCAGGCACAGTAGCACCAATTACTTCTGTTTTTAATTACCTCTGTTTGTTTCCCACTGTGACATGTCAAACATATAAAAAGTATACTAAACCTCTGATTAGTCTGAATATTTTCTTCATGAATATTGGACCTTCCTCCAAAACCATTTGACACAGTATTGACATGCTTGAGCTGCTGTGTGTTTGGCATGGGTATGGAATGACGGGATTAAGTTCCAGGAAAATATTAAATGCGAGACTGTGGCCTGTGATCAGCACACTCAATAAGTTATTTGAAATCCTATCATAATCATATATTATATGAGCACCTGGTGCATGGTCACTTATAATACTAAACATCTGTTTCTCTGTGCTCCAACACTCTTGATAAGATATTTATCACAATTGCGCCATCATCACTTGGACTCTGCTGACACTTACCTCATATTCCTGTGAAAACTTGAGGTTGTCGTTGGCTTTCAGGCGCTCCAGATGATCTGCCAGGTCCATGATTGGGATTGGAGGGTGGCTTGCCATACCTATCAATGAGGTGGACTGAAGGTCAATTGCCAGTCATGTAAGAGGGCGTCACCTACGCTCAAGCCAACAGTGAATCATTAGATAAGCAGCATGTGTGCTTAACAGGGGGAATGGAAGAGTTGTTAGGCTACGTTGTTCACTCAAAGCAGTGGCCATGCTCATAAGAGAATATGGACATAAAAGCCAATGAGAAGTCACTGGGACTCTCCCTAATGAGAGGGAAGAAAGTTAGTCACACAGAAAGCTGCAGTGAATAGTTAGCATGAAAGTAAGACAGAAACCGGCATCCCAAAAACAAACAAACAAAGACGTTGAAAATGTTAGGCCAGATGGTGACGTCTGCTTTGAATGATGACATGTTTTCAGGCTGTCATTTCAAACTCCACCCCCTGTGCTGACTTAGCAGTAACACCAGATGGATTAGATCAGGATGGGAATACAAGACTAAGCAGAAAGGAAAGGGAATTAAAGCTGAAAAACAAAAACAAATCATGTCAAATGCATAATCGAGACCAACTAACTTGACAAATGGAGGTTACTGGGGTGACTGGACACACCTGAACCTGTGGAGGAAACGGCGGTGTAATTAAATACATTGCAGATGCCAGAGCAATGCTTTCTTCACAAACACAAGGTAGAAGTTGAAATGTGGCACAAAGCTGCTGAATGATTGTATTCTAAATGGGACTTTTATTAGTATCATATGAAACCATCATGCTAAAGCTTGACTGTGCCACCATGCTCATTTCATAGAAGGATGATGCATAGGAAATAAAAGTCCTAGCAGCACAAACCAAATTTGAGCCACCAAAGTAAATTACTTGACATTTGCTAAAATAGAGAAACATTACTTGCACATTCTGTAGCATAAAGGTTCAGCCTGTAATTAGGCTCACCTGAATTATGGCTGGTAATTGAGGGGTTCATAAGAGCTTCAGTGTAGTGAAAAGGGTCTGAACAATGCTGATGTTCACCAAGACACTTTTTTTGTTCATGCTGTTGCGAACAAGTCTACGGCTAAAGATCTGCAACTTTCAAATTCGATTTCCATTTTGACACAACAGTTGGCTGACAGTTTGTCAGTCCAGCACTGAAGTGATGTTTTATTTTGGTTGTGGGAACAAGTGTGCATTAACTAATGGAAGCTGTGCCTCGTTTTCCCACCCACTCTCACATCTATCTGAAAGATGGCAAAGGGTGTTTCTATTGCAGCCTGCTACTTAAAATCCATTTCCATCACTGGGGGACAATGAAAGTACCATTTCCAACACACTGTCGTGCTAAAATTGAGTATCCTTAAGATGAAAATGTCCATTGAGTGGTAAAGAGGTGAAAGGAAAGGTAGAGAGAGTAGGGCAAAGAGGTGGTCTAATGTAGAAGTGCTTCAGGACTTGACAGAAAGTGGTTGCGTGGCAGGGAAAAAAAAGTTTTGTTCTCTTTGAGCAGTGAGTGAGCCAAGATACTAGATACTCTCCAAAAAAGATGTTGGGGGGGAAATGGCTTGAGAGGCGTGAGAGGTGAGTGAAATACTGGGAGGATGGTTAAGATCACTCTGTGCCAAAAGGAAAATACCCCTCTGCCAGGATGAAACAGCCAATAATGGTCCTAACATCACTGAAGAGCTTTCATAAATATGCATAATCTTTTTCAAAAACGAACCTGCCGGGATAATTCATCCTCCTGTCATACTAGCTGACCTGAAAAATACGGCTTTGATAACAGTATTGGCAGTCTGTGATCACCTGTCACAGAGCAGTCGGTGCCAGAGGAACTCAGCTGGCAGTTAAGTGTTTCTCTCTTGGTTAGGATGCAGGCAAAGATGCACACGTCCTTTCAAGGTGATAAATGGACTGTGGCTCCTTAGTTCCCCAAGGCGGGAAGCAATCACATGACTGAGCCGAGGCATGACCCCTGACCACTACTCATGTATTTATGTAAAGGTCAGAGTAAACATTAATGTTTACAGCTTCTCACCACTTTTTTTTTTAATCGCAGTACATAGGCTCATGCACAGAATGAAGCAGAACCAGGACACATTTTGTATTTCTCGCACCCTCCACTATGCAACACCGTCCAAGCAAGTCTGTACTATTTTGAGCAAGCATGACAATGACCTGGATCAGCCAGGTACACAGGAAGGTGACAGCTGTCATAAAACTGCCAAGCTTGCATTTCTGTCTGTTCTTTCTCAACTGAGAAGTGTCTCCAGGGAGGTCACAATCATATTTGACCCTCTGTGTCTTCTCTAAGCACCTGTCCACTGTCTACCTGCAAGCTGCTGCCTTGTTTATTGTCAATCTTGCTGCAATGATGATGGGAACCTTTTAGGATCTTGTTTTAGGTTTCACTGTTGCAGATGAAGAAGAAAATATATAGATGCTAACTGTGAATATATGATTGCCCCTGTAGCAAGAAATCAGTAGTAGTAATATCCATTTTCACAGTGTTAGTTGTGAATGACACAGACGCCACAGAATACTTACCAGGTGTTTGGAAGTTGAGACGTCGAAGCTCAACGGGGTCAGTGGGATGGTGCAGTGGCATTTCCTTGCTGTTGGGGAGACTGCCTTTCCTAGCTTCAGATTCTGCTCTTTTTCTGCAGAACAAACAGATTTGTAATTATTTGTGATAAAAATTTCTCTGCTGTGCATTTCTCTTACTGTGTAACCTTGTGGTCTAATAAGTAATGAAGGAAGAAAGGTAATTAAGAAGGTGACAGGACTACACTCAGAGCACATAAAGCTGTAGGGGGCGGACTAGATAACATCATGACTTCACAGTATAATGTAATTCAACACAATAGCCCTTAGCTATTAACTACTAACTCTGCAAAGCCAATAATGTTCACTTCTCAGTGACGGTGTCAGATAGGGTGTCAATTCAGCTCTATAATATTTATGTTGCAATAGTTAGAGATGGTGTTTGGATTGCATTATGGTGGAACCTGATCCTGTTACCATACTTAAAAAAAAAAGAAAAGAAAGAAAAGCTTTTCACAAAAGTACCATTTGTTCATGTTAACTGTTCCAATCTGTTTTAGTTTAGTTTATTTTTAATGCACATCTTAAGATTGACATTTGTCTTTTGCAAATTTCTGTGTACACCATTGTCACCTCTGATAAAAGAAGCCATATGAATCCAGTGTCGGTCTCATAGAAAGCAATGTGTTGTTTTTTTTTCCATTCACACTAAAGAATACAAAGTTGGTCACTGACATGGATCAAATGTTTTGTTTTGCACTCGCTAGTGACTTCAAATATTATAATGGAAAGATAATCTGATTACAGTATTTGTGAATTTAAAGTTTATTAGTGGTAGAAAAAGTCAAAATATTTGTGCTTTGATTTGCAACAGTTGCCTCATGGCAGCTGTCATGGAAACAGTGCTACACTGTTAACAGTAAGCAACATCTTTCCAGCTTATGCTCATTTTGTTTAAGCACAAAGCCAAACTTCACAAATTACATGCTCAGATACCGTATGTGCAGTTCAGAAAAGGAAATTAGTTGTTCTCTACTCCCTCCTCACTCTTACCTGTCTGGTTTGCTGCTCCATTGGTCAGCAAGGAAAGAAATATTGACAACATTAGGTGATAAGAACCTTAGTTTTATGTAATGGAAAATTCCTGAAATCTTCTTCAGACTATGTAAGAGACAAAATGATACCAATCACATCAGATGTGTGTTATGCAGCCTTTGTTTCAAATGTTGTAGTTTCCCAGGTGCATCCAAGATTTGTACATTGTATCTCTGCTATTTCAAGCAGTTTCAGCTGATTGGTTCTTGTTCAAGCATAACAGTCATGTCTTGACTCGTGATTGCTGTGCCTCTTTTCTTGCAAATAGGCCTACCACTGTTGCATTTATTACAAGGATCTATGCACATTTAAGATTTTTACATGTGGTATCATAAATGTGGACATATTTTGACTGTATCTTTCTTTCTCTCTCTCTCATCTCAATTATGTTGTAGCTGAGTAATATCACCTAGTTATACAGTGGTTGTTCCTTAACATGGCAGTGACTCTGTCTGGGTAACTGGGGTTTAAATCTGCCTGACACAGATAAACAGTGAAGCCCTCACAAATACAACATTTTAACTTTCAGTGCACCTTTATATTCTCTATTCTAAAACTTGATATGAATTGGTCCTGAGGACAAAAAGGCATGAGAGCCAGAATAACGCAGTACGGCATAAACCTCTTGTATTACTTTGATACTGTGGATGATTTTTTTGGCTTCCATATTGGTAATTTTACTGATTTCAGCTTATGCTGACATGTCACTTATTAATCTTACCCTCCCCAAAATTGCTTCTTTAACACTACTGTGAAATTCTGCTTAAGACTGTACATTTGATTGAACAGCACAGAAGATGTCACTTGTGTAAAAGGTGAGATGAGACAAGATAGCAAAGGACATAAAAAAAAAGTGGTATTTAGACATGCAAGATATGTGCATGTGTGTGTGTGTGACAGCAAATCAGCAAGGGAGTGTACAGCCACAGTCAAGATCTAACGCTACGTTCCCTTGGCAAATGGATTGTAGTAAAAGGAGAGGGGCTGGCTCAGGCTCCAGGGCCTAACTGCAACTGGACACACGTGCAGTGACATGCAGCAGAGCTCTCCCTTCGGATGCTTGACTAATGACATTACAAAGTCTGGCTAACACTGGGGGAAGCGGGGGCTGAATGTGCATTACCACAAGTGTTTCTTTCCTACAGTTTGACACATGTTTGTGAGTGCAGGATTGTGTCCATCTGCATTTGATGGCTTGACAGTTTGGGTAGCTGTGTGCTTAGATTTAGTCATCTGAGATTGAATGTGTGTTTGTTTGTGTGTGTGTGTGTGTGTGTGAGCGCTACTGAGGGTGAGAGTCATGTGTCATCTGAAGATCAATTCACCTCCTGCTTTAAGATAAAAGCTTAGGTTTAGTGTCTATATTTAAATGTACTAAATGAAAGTAGTATGAATATTAAATATTAAATATAAGTGCAGAGAAAAATCCCTCCTGTCTCTGGACTCTCATTTTACATTTTTACCTTTTGTAAAGGAGGATGGCAATGACGATGCATATGATGAAAACGACTGCTAGCACAGGGCCCACCACCCAGATGAGGCCTTCCTCCTCATCAATGATGGGCTGGGGATCAATGTCAGCTGAAACAACCGAGTCGGAGTAGGGGCTGGTGGCATACATGATCTGAGCCAGGAAAATGCAAATCAGTGATCAATTGTAAAATATGCATTATTTTGTTTTCCAGCTATTATATGCCATTTATACATCTTGGATATCATGCTGCTCCTTTTTTTCTGTTTTATCTATCATCTAGTGATGTTTTATATCCTGTGTCTCATTGTTCCTTTGACAAAGACATTAACACAGACGTTCAGCTTAATATTACATCAACATTCAGAACTGAATGCTGAAGCATACAGTAGGTTTTCAAAGCATCCTTCATGACTTCATTTATTACTACAAACAATATCTAATAGGACTGAGAGCATGACCAGCAGTGCACTTTAAAAGACTATTCAAAGTTTTGCTGTGCAATTTTTGCTAAGCTATAGTTTATCCAGTCAAAATTATCTTCAGTATCTCACCTGTGCAGGAGCTGTGATTGAACTATTTCACATTCTAAGAGGAGATTATAGAAAAATGCCCTTGTGGGAAGGGCATGTATGCCTCAGTGGGCAAATTAAAGATTTCCCTCTGTCTGTCATTATCATTTTTGCTCGACCTGAACTCAGGGTTATTGCAGAGTGTGTGAGGCAGCACTATAGACCCTGCAGCTCATCAAGTCCATCATCTCGCCTGCAGCTGCCTAATCATTCAGCTTTCTGGTTGGCTGTTCAGACAGACTTGCACATACACACTAGCTACAGCAGTGGAGATAAGGTGGGCTGCACGTAGGATGAAATTAAACAGGAGCTCTGTTATCGAGGTGGTGTTGCGATCAGCTAAGATCTTAAGGGGTTTCTGTCCCTAAAGAAGCAAGGGTCAGCTTCTTGGACCAGCTGTAGCTCTAAGGTTTTAAGTAAAAGCCTTATAAGGGCTGAGAGCAACTAGAGGCAAACTCCTCAACTCTTTGCAAAGATGCAGTGGATTTAACCCTCTCTGTCTTAGAACATATATGGAACTTAGCACGAAGAACAGGTTATCACAGGATATGTAGAAGATATATCCCAGAAGCTCACAAGCTCATGTCTGAAGCAGAACTCAAGCATAACATATGGATAAAACTGAGATAATACTGTATTTGAGAGAGAGCAGACTTACATTTTCAGACATCTCTAGAACAGCAAGTACAAAGAAGATGTACTCTTGGCCATTCTGCAGCTGCTTGTTCTCAAAGTCCCCAATAATCTTGCCATCTCCCAGCGTGAACTCCTTAGGCAAGTCTTTGAAGTAGGCAGCAATATAGGCTTTGGTTTCTTCCTGTCTCCGGAACCGAAGGCCTCTGCTAGTTCGGTTTATTTCCTTCAGCAGCTACAGTGAAGAGTAAGAACAAGAAAATGGTGGTAAAACCATAGAGACACATTCCAGATCAAACATGAAAACATCCATTCATAGCTGCGCTGAAAATACTGATTGTAAAAGGCAGAACATACCAGAAAAGATCAATGACTTATTTCATTTATTTGTGGTCTATAAAAGGTTGTATGGATTTACAGCATGTATAACAGCTAGGGTTACAAAGAGGCTGCATTTAATTAAAACCTACGTAGCTCAATTATTTTCTTGAAACAATCAGAAATAGTTTTGCTTAAACACAAGGACAAATAATCTTGTTGGACTTTTTAGTGGATTTGATTAACTGTGTGCAGTTGTGTATTTTATAATTCATGGTGTCATGTGAATGAAAAATATTCAAAGTGAGGGTTAATTATACTGCATATGTCAAAAAACAGCATGAAATTGTTTTGCTAAGTACAGCAAATTATATCTTGCATCTAAATTGAAATGCTAGTTATATAGACACATATTACCAAAAATGTTGTCCAGTGTAATTAATGTCAGAGCAAAAAATAGCACCTTTGCTCGCCCCACCAACAATAGTAATAACAATAATAACAGACTAAGTATGTCCTCCATATAAGTTTGTATCATCTGACTTACAGTACCAAGTGTAGATCATAATTATGCTAATCAAGGCTTGCTAGTTGTTTGGGTGTCAGATTTCATATCTTGCTTGCATGAATGAGTGCGTGTGCAAGTTGTATGCGCCTGTCATTCACATTAGTGTGTGTGCATTCCTGTGTGTGCTGTGTTTTGGCTGTAGGGCTGTTGGTGCTGCCTGATAATGTCTTCAATCATCACTCCTGTCAACATGGCTAAATCTAGCTGCCCTTGGGAAAAGTTGTGAAAAGGTGAGTGCCAATATTGACAAACAAATAAATTCTGACAGAGGGGCAACTTCTGAGCGATCGGTCAAGGCTACAGACATGGGCCTGCAGGCATGAGCTGTAAAGCCAATGCCAGATCAGACACAGTGTGTTACCCTCCTAGACATATGATATGTTGTGATGTTTGTATGATAGAGATACATATTTAAAATCGGGCAATTTCGGAATGCACTATTTTTGCAAAAGGATGTTTTACAAATAAATATCCGTTACTTTTCAATGCTCTACAGAAATGCCTGGAATGTAATTACATCTTAAAAATGACAGTGATAAAAGATTTCATTTGCTTGTTGTTTAATCATGGCTACAATGCACAGAAGCTACTGAATGATCTCAGCTGGCTAAATATAAAAGCTGTCAAGAGTTTTGTGCATACGCGGTAGCCTAGCTTTTCCTCGACTGAGTAGAGACATGAAGGCCTGATGCAGCTCTTCAGGTAATTACCGCAGACACAAAGAGGAGGAGGAGGAGGTGGAGATGGGGGTTGAGTTTTCAGTGCACTTCATGGCTACTTCATGTTCTCATTTCCATATGAACAGTGCTTTCTGCAGCTATTTGCGTCAATCAGCAAGACTCGTCTCCTGTTCCTCCTGCCCCTTAACTGCCTCAAATGTATTTTTTCCAGTTTTGAGATATGAATGTGTGGTATGTGCACATAGTTGTGTTGTCCCTGTTAAGAAGTTACAGAGCACAATATGACCTGGCATATTTGTGTTCTTCTTTCCTGGTAAATCAAGACATTAACCCAAGTTCATTCTTTAAACCTACCTCCTCCAGGTTCATCTCATCGGGATTGTCCCAGGGTTTGAAAAACTTCCCAGTGCGCTGCTTCTTTAGAGGTACTACCACAATGTAATATCCCCTGGAAAACAGTGTTAAATACATCATATTACCTCATGAAATATCACTGCCACTTTCTAAAAGACACGTTCACACACATAGATGGATTTTCATCCCTTCTTCACAGGGGAAAGAGAGATAATGGCCATTGCCAGAGTTAGACTTTCTGGTTGTTTAGCTACCTTTAGCCCAGAGGCAGTGGGGCAGGCTAATAACGTGTGGATACCCGAACTGAGCCTGATGCGACCTGTCAGTACCCGAGGGTAATTGATAGGTTCAGACAAAAATTTTGAAATTGTGTTTTGGTCCAGGCCGGGTTCAGGCACATAGGTCAAACTTTAGGCTAGACAGCTGGAGCACTCAAATGTCTGCTCCCTTTAATCATAAGGGGAAAAACACCATAGAAACTCAACTCAGGCTCAGGTTGGGTTCAGACATTGTATACACTATAAGCTTGTTGGGTCCAGGCCGGTTTAGATACCACACTCTCAGGCATGTTCGGGTTTGGACATAAATATGTGGCTTGATCCATGCTCTACAGGCTAATGGGGAACTAATTATCTTAAGTTGTGGCGTGGGAGACATTTCACAAAGTGCATCCAGCAAGATAAAAAAAAAAAAAAGCAAAAAAACAAAAACCAAGATGAGTTTGAAGTGTCAGTCTATAATCAGATGTGCTCCTTGGCCTTATGACAGCACCTGGGCTTTGTTGAAAAGCTACAAGGGACTTTATAGAGCTTATAGGAGCGTGCTTAAATGTGTCGGGCTGCTTCATTGTGTAATGACTGAGGTGAAGTGGATATTACATTGAAATGTAGTGATGAATATAAATGACTGTTTTGGAAGGTTTACCCCTCATAGGCTTTGCTATCACATTAACTTATTTATTTCATTTCACAGTGCATCAGGTAGAATAATAACCGGTAACATGGACATTAGCAGAAAGTTCCACTGCATTGTAGTTATGTCATTAACTGTCACATATCTAAAGAAAGAGACATTTTAATAGTTTAATAGTTAGTAATTACAAGTAGGGTGGCACCCAAATCAAGATATCAGAAACTGCACTTGAGGCCAGTGCACCAACTTGGGGGAAGTTCTGAGACAAGACTTAATTTATACCTAATTATATCTTATAATTGTTTATACTTAATGTTGTTACGCTGCATTGCTGTGTGTACAATGTTGCATTGAAAAAAGTGAAGTGATTTGACTGGGGGCTTCTTGACTGATGAATAGTATCGATGTTTAGAGGGTTATGCTAATTGAAAGCAATTCAAAATCATCTTTAGTTTGATCATCTCCACTCACCTTACTCTCTCAGATGTTTGGACAGATGGTAGTTCCACAGTCACCATACCGTCTGAGTTGGTCTTGCCAATCAGGTAGGGTTTGGTGCGAAGGATGTCCGGGGCTGTCATGGTGGACACACGGTGCTGCAAACCTCCGGCACTGTTGCCACGGTTGGTCAGAAGGAAGGAGTACTGCGTCTCAGGTTGAAGACCTGTGATTAGCTTCTGTGTTCGCTTTCCATCCACCTCCACGCTCTGGCCATTGTCATAGAGAATCTGTATGCAAATGAGTTGTTTCATGTAGATACTGGAGTTTGTTGTGGATGATTACTGAATAATTTCTCATGTCATCATACTATGCGGTATGTCCTGTTTATCTAGGCTGTGCTCACAGTGAAAGGTTGAGCTGGGTTGTAGTTGTCTGGGATTTCCCAGGTCAGCAATACTGATGTCTTCATGGCAGCTTTCACGTGAAAATTTTTTGCAAACACTGCTAAAAGAAAGGGGGAGCAGGTGATTTAGACACAAAACATACTTTATCTATCTTCAGCAGCGGTCCCGCACCAGTGCTTACCTGAGAAATTCTCCATCAAAACCAGGCTGAAATCAGTACTACACTGAACCCAACCCTGTCCTCTTACCTTCTTACCAACACCAACTCTAAAACTGACTGACCTTTACTTGACAAGACACAGAGACATACATACTTACTGCATGTGAGTTTCTTAGTTAGATTATAGAGACTAAAGCTCAGACAATATTTTAATAACAAAATCCTCTGGGTGATTCCATACTTAGTCAACTTCTGCCATTTGGGGCTTTCAGTGGAAGCTGTGGTAGTTGGTAAGGGTTCGCAGGGATAGGTTGATGTTTAAAAGGAAGGGACTATAAAGGTTCAGGGACTGGTCCTACCTTGATCCAAAGGCTGTGTCCTGAATTGGACACTTGGGCTATAGGGACCAGAGCCCTTGCTGGTGAAGGCACACATTTTAATATCGTAAGTGGTATCCGCCTTAAGGCCATCCACGATGACTGTTGATTCCGGGGCAGTGATAAAGAGTTCTGAGGGACTGCGAGGGCTGTTGATGTCCTTGTACTGCAGAGCATATTTCACTATTTGACCATTTCGCTCTGCCAGCAAAACAGGTTGCCAGCTAACCTGAATGGTAGAGGTGGTGGCCCCCTCGGCTGTAATGCTCTGGGGGTAGCCACTTGGGACATCCTCATTTGTGGTGACTTCTTTGACTGTCTCTTCACCAAAGCCCACCTTATTGCGTGCTGAAAGGCGAAAAGTGTACGAGGCTCCCTTATGGATCTCTTTGGTAGTGTAGTGGTTCTCTCGCTCAGGAAATTCAATAACAGTCAGGGGATCCACATCTTTGCGGCCAAAACGGAGGCGATAGCCTTGCAGGGGCCCGTGGGTTAATGCTGGGGGATGCCACTGGAGGAGAGCTGTCCCCATGTTAGTTGTGCTGACCATTAGGCGAGGTTTATCGGGAACTAGGAGAAAGGGACAATTTGCCATGAAGGTTTAGAACGCAGACGTTCATTGTCAAAGTACTATAGATCAACTGTCTATTTGTGTCTATCTTTTACTTTAACACTGCTGAAGGAGGTGAGTAAAAGATGCCATTCTTATCCTTCAATCTCTACAATATCCTTTAAGTGCTGTTAGCATTATAAGAATTGTTGCTTTAAATGAGACAGCAGTTAGCTACATTCACACTTTACACACTGCATGACAAGAAGCCCAGTGCCTCTTTTACGCATTAGATGCAGTTTTACTATTTACAAAGCAAAATTGCAGTTTTATCCAGTAGTATATTGGCAGAGCACAACAGGAGATTTGTCAGCATTGATGGCTATGTTACCTGCGCCGGTGGTGGTGATCAGTTTGTCTCAGCTTGCAGCTCTGAGATGATCATTTCCTATAAAAATACAGCACTTGAGTTACAGGACACTTGATGATTTGCTGATATAAGCAAAAAGAGCGATTAAAAGTGGTTTGTGATTTCAGCATAATCACATAGGACACAACACACACATTCTCTCGATATATTTAGAGCTGCGGCATACTTCAGTGGAGGGAATAGTGTTGGCAAGCTTTAGTTAATAAAGAACTTGGCAACTTGGAAAGTTTGTGCAGTAAAGTAACTTCGCCAATAAACACAAAAAGAATACATTCAAACCATAAATTCAGCATTTGGTTTTGTTTTGGCCAGTTAAAAATGTTAGTCAAGAAGTTCCTTTAGAAGTTTAAAGTAATTATCTGCATAAGGTGAAATAGGGCTCAAACTGTTCTTGAAAATCAGGCCATAAACTCCTGGTGCACAAAAGATACATGCCATTCATGCAGAGGCTTACAGCAATGAAAAGACTGGATTGTTTGCTGTTTAGCTACTCACATGTTCAGTTGAATCATCATATTCCCACTGATTATGATATCAGAATATGGAGAGAAAAGAGACAACAAATAAGGCCAGGTACAGACACTAATCACTGGTGACAAAACAGTTTGTCTGCAACCACCAAAATAAAAAATTGTTGATAAGAACAGTTACGGTAAAAGTAGAAATCATATCTAGAGTTCACCTTCTACGTTATAGAATTAACCTCAATGACACAGTAGTTAAATAGTTGCTGTTTTGCTGAGTTCAGTTATTGATATGTCATGATGACAATTATATTTTTTCCCTCAGGCCAAATAAAAGTCTTTGCTGTAGTACATGTAAAGGTGAGAGAGAAAAAGCAATGCTACGGGTGTGAGAAATAAGTTTGCTGGCTGAGGAAGGTGTTGTACCTGGGCATCATCAATCAGGATGTCCTTGATGACTGGCTGTCCTGTGGGCTCCCCATTAACCATCCTGACATAGTGCACCTGGTACCCTCGGATCTGGCCGTGCTGCTTGGTGGGCATCGGTGAGCGCCAGATCACTTTAATTGATGAGGAGTTGACGGCCTCCACCTCAACTTTACGAGGTGGCCCACTAGGAACTGGAGGAACACCATGGGATAGAAGAAAAAGGGTCAAAATTATAGAGAACCTCTTTACCCTCTTTTTTAAATCTTGCCCAAAGCCGTAGTGGAAAATGCTGCAGTGAGGGGGGAAAAAAAAAATCACAAAAGTGCAGTAACTGCAACAAGCGCTGCATGACATCAATATTTCAACAATGGTAAGGGGAAAAAAGAAGAGCAAAAACAGGTCTGTCAGCTGACCTATTCTAAAAACATTAAAAATGGGTAGAGTGGATTTTAAAAACATGGATTAAAAATGGGTTTTGCCAAAGTAGAAAAGTGGAGCCAAAGGGGGGCTTCAAGTGATTCAATGCTTGAAGCCCTACAAGAAGTTTGGCTATGGAGCAAGGAAAAATGAATAAAAATGATTATTACATGAGGCGAGAAAAATATTAAAAATGGCCTTCAAAAAATTCTTTCACCCAAAGTTTCAAAGTTTCAAAAATGGCAGTTGGAAGTTGGAGGCCTGGAATTTAAAATGCAATACCATGTGTTGAAATTCTGCAGCATAGGGGAGAAAAAAGCCAAAAAAAGGGTGCTTTCGCAAAGTGAGTCACTGTTTGTTTGGGGAAAAAAAAGTGCATAGTCCAAAATGGCCACACTGAGATTTGAAGCAGGCAAAGAGGGAAGAAAAGAAGAGGGATCTGCAGACATACTGTAGGCGAGGTTGTTAGTAATAGATGGAGTAGGTTAAGAGGGGTAGGCTGGATTGGTAGCTGGGGCTTTGTTTTGGTGAACACATACCATCCTCCTCTGTGCGGATGAGCTGTGGCAGGCTTTTTGGTCCTGCTCCAACATCTGTATGAGCAGTGACCGTCACAAGGTACTCTGTCCATTTTTCCAAGTTTTCCAAAAGGTACTGGGAGCTTTCCGGAGGGATGCTGGAAATTTGTTGAGTAGTAGTATCCTCCCCTTCAGTTGGAGCATACTGGATGGTGTATTGTGTTAGGATCCCATTTTGTAATTCCACTGGGGGTGGCCGCCAACTTACCAGGATGCTGGTGGAGCTGGGGCTGTGGCACTTGACTTCCTGAGGTGGACCCGAGGGTTCTGGTTGGTTGGTGGTGGATTTGGCAGGTGCAGGGGTGTTTTTTTTTTTTGTTTGTTTGTTTTTTTTGGTCATAGGTTTTAAAGTGGTTTCAGTTTTTTGTTTTAATTGGGGGTGATGATGGTAGAATTGACCAAACATAGGAAAAAAGAAAAGGAAAATATAATGACACAAAATGAGGAAAAAGCACGAGGACAAATGTATAAATATAAAGTCTTTTAAATGAATTAAACATCACGAGACAAAAAAGGCAAAGACTAATGCAGTAGTGTACACGGTGATGATGAATGGGAGATGTTGACTGGAAAAAGAACAGTTTTACAATGTGTAACCTACCTTTTTCATGAAAAATAAAAATAAAAGATCATAAAAACAAATGGAAACAAAATCATATATCCTAATAAATTTCTTACATCTCTTAATTCTAAATGAAAACCTAAACATATTTCAAAGTACTTCAGAAATTATTCAGTCATTCCAAAATAAATGTAGCAATAACTGAGACAAAGTTGGACAAGCAGTTACCATCAATCCAAAAACACAAAGGTTGATGCTTTAACTAGTTTAAAATAGAAAAATGTTGTATTTTTCACCAACCTTTCCGAAGCCTGTTGGTTTGTGGTAAAAGCCTGATTGTACAACAGAGAACTTCCCAAGGAGACATGACTGATTTATTAGATTCCGATAACACTGGCATGCACTTTTTAATTAAGTGATCATTTACCTCAGAACATAAATCTAGGCAGAGTTTGAACATCTAAGATTTTATACCCACCTGGTCTCTGCCCCTGTCTTTCAGAGACCTCAGATTTATGTTTAGATCTGCCAAGTCAACTGTAATGGCTCATTGTTTTTGCTTTTGCCCACTTATTGGACGGTTTCAGGGTTTTCTTTGACTGGTACTGCACTGGATCTAATTTGACTTTGTCATAAACAGAATTAAATGTTGAAATATTGACTTGTTTCATAAATCTGAGGCCTTTTGGGTGGAAATGCTCCTAACTATGGAGAAAATACTTTGAGCATTCTATGATGTTGCTAGTTTAGTGTTCTTGATTCTAATTAGAATTTAGCATTAGTATTAATGCCAGCTCTTTAAAGGGAAAGTCCCTTGAGGCCCAAAGAAATTGTTTTTGCAGTGTTGCTACATAGAAAGCTCAGACTCAAAATCTTCCATTCTCTTATTTTGGGCAAACATGCAATGTCAGGAAACAAGGTTTGCTAAAGGCCAACCATGCACTTTGACTGATTAAAAAACTGTTAGTTGACACAGATATAGGTAGTCGTATAAATACTTCAAGGCTTTGTTATTCATTTGAGTCGAGACTACTTTTGCTCAACAAAGTACTTTTTGTAACCTTGTCTCCTGACTTCACAGGAAAGCCTGGGTAACACTGTCCATGCATCACGGCATGGTCAGGGAGACTTCATAAGTTTGCTATTTCAAATGTTTACAGTTTTGCTATTTTCAAATGCATCAGCCCTTTAAAGAACAACCTTATTCTCTCTCTATCTGTGCTCAGGAGTTTCCTGACATTCTTGTCACTTCTTGGATTTTGCAGCACAAATAAAATTCATAATGCATTTGAAAATATTTTCCTTCCCAAGCAGTTAAAAAAAAACTCTCAGATAAGGAAGAAGACCTACGTGTCTGTGGAGTTTCTGCAGAGATCTCGTTGGTATAAGCTCCAACTCCATGTTTACTACGGGCGGCAAGCCGAAAATTATATGTAGTGAAGGGCTTCAAGTCCTTCAGCAGATATGTTGTTGTTGGCTCAAAGCTGATATGTTTCTGTGGGAAAGAG